ATATCGATTCCTTGAGCGATGAACTTTCTGAAGATTCGAGAAGAACTCCACTGTGTCTATAGCCTTTCACACATCACTATCTAGGTAATCTGTTGAGAAGAAACTCATTTTTATTGGAATTTGTCAGCACCAATGATAACAACCTCAATCTTGCAAGCTACCTGAAAATCTCAACAAATTCTTCAAGAACGATTAGTTTCAAGACAACTTCTCCCCCAGTCAAACACAAATATCCTGTTATCAATATCTGAAATCATACTAGAGGTTAAAGATGAAAGAATTTCATAGCTAGGGTTTTTAAACTTTTCAAAAATGAGAGTATGTTGATTTTGACAAAATCACAATGCAAAGAGTTGTAAAGTTGTGTAAGATATTTGTGTGTAAAATAATGACAAAAAGATTTTATATGTGCTTGAGACTAAGCACAAAAATGGATGGAAAAATTAGTTAGATTTAAATTAAGAACATTTCATAATTTGAGTCAAACGAGCAAGTGAAGTGGAATAAGAAGAAAAAATATTTTGACCCATTTCTCATCTGATTTGTGTCAAGTGTAAAGCCTGGTTTGAATTATATAGCTAGTGATTTGAATCAAGTGTAAATATTGATTGAAATCAATTTAAATAGATCCAAAAGAGAAATGTGGAAAACATGTATGGTTCAAATCAAATGTAAAGTATGATTCGAATAAAATGAAACAGAGGTGACTCATATCAGTCTGTTTCAAATCAAGTGCAACTTGTGACTCAAATCACAAAGTTGTTTAATTCAAATCAACTTAAAAGTCTTATTCGAGTCAGACTGTTTTGAAAGTCTTTGGTTTGCCTCTGTTTAGTTTGATTCGAGTCATGATATGTTCTTGATTCGAATCATGCACACAAAATCTCAAGTTTTCATGGTTTTAAAATACTTTGAGATTTTTCTTTCCATCTAACTTGAACCAATAACACACAAGGTTCGTATTCCACTAACTCATGCAATTGACTAAAAGCATCATGATTAAGCTCAAACATAACTATTGATTTATGCATACTAAAATGCATCAATTCTAACTTGAGTCAGAGATGTGCAATCATGAAGGAGACTGAATAAACGATAATAACCAAAAGTCAAAAAATTATGCTACAAAGTAACCCTATTAGGGGTGCTCCCCCTGAATGTGTTAGGGGCATATAACTCCAGTTTCCCCTAGGGATATGCAGCTTCATATATTTTATTGTTTTTTAAGGTATTACTAGAAAAGTAGAGTCGGGTTTACATACTTCATTTCGGGAAGACCCTTGGTTAAGAAGCGTCCCTGTAAAGTTTAAGTTTCCTAGTTCGTTCTCCATCTCTCTCCAGCCAGAAGGGATGGTGGGTGATATTTGAGAGATTGTTAATGGGAACTTGACCTGAGACTTTAGATGGAGGTTACATTTCTTACTTAGAGAGAGGCCAATTTTTGACGAGTTTCATGCCTTGCTTAGAGATGTCACCTTTACCCTGGATAGAGACAAGTATATTTGGAAGCACGCTAATGATGGTACTTTTTTAGCGGGTTCTGGTTACATCATTTAGAGTATGAGGTGGCCTTTTTCTATGGCCCTGTTTCTGGTTCAGACTCAAATCCTTCTCCTTATATGAAGTAATTGATGTAAATATGAGAGTGCGCCTAAGAGGGGGGTGAATTAGGTACTTTAAAAGTTTTACCGTTTTAGTGAGATGGATATTATTTTTCTGGTTTAGTGCATGAGTTTACAAAAGTGTTTCTTTCTTTTCTGGTTTATGACTAGTGATGAAAGTGGTAAATGCGGAAAAGTAAACAACACAGAGATGTATCCCGGTTCCCCTCACAGTCCGAGAGTACTCCAGTCCCCTTTCAACATGAAAGAGATTTCCTTATTGTTAGATCTCTAGACAAGACACCCTAGTCCTTCTATACAAGACTCTAACCAATAAAACCACCAAGAACAATCCTCTTAGACCAAGAACAATCCTCTTGGATTTTCACTATGTCAAAAATGAGGACAATCCTCTCAGGGTGACTACACACTTGTATCCAACATTCCTGGAAAGACAAGATTTTAAAACTACTTAAACTTATATCCAATAATCCTGGAAAAATAAGTAAGTATCTATCAATATTTTATTATGGGTGAGTTGAGTAGTAATGATCACTTAGAGTGATTTAATAAATGAATTATCTTCTCTTCCAATAATAATAATGTACAATGACTCAAGATATAATTGCTCAAAGTTTTCTGTTTGTTAATGTATGAAAATATGCAGAAAACTTATGCATGAAAGTGAAGGAATGCTTGAGTTTGTATTTTGAAATTTCAGAAAATATTTATGGAAGAGGTGTTGAAATAGATTTTGAAATTGAATATTTATATGTTCATAACACCCTTTTGAAACATCATGAAGATCTGAAAATGTATCATGAACAAATGCCAAGTTTGAGTGAAAAGTTTCAATGAAAAGGCATGATGAACAGGCATGTACAAAGCTGCTGTTTTTCAAAATCGTGCAGCATGCAATCGATTGCACCCTTTATGTAAATCGATTGCACAAGGTTTCAACAACTATTTTTTCAAAACTTTTAAGAGTGCAATCGATTGCACTATCAATGTAAATCGGTTGCATGCAAAGTCAGTAGCAAAAAGTAAGTGAGTGCAATTGATTGCACTAGCAATGTAAATTGATTGCACTGAGAAACAGAAGCAAACGATTTGAAAATTTTAAGTATGCAATCGATTGCACAAGCAATGTAAATCGATTGAACAGAGAAACAGAAGCAAAAGATCTGAAAGTTTGAAGTATGCAATCGATTGCACTAAAATGTAAATCGATTGCATGCAAGATAAAAATGAAATTTAAACTTGAAAAACTTGAGTAATGATTTTTTAAACATTTCATTTTCATTTTTGAGCATCTATATCTTAAAATCAAAGTAGATAATATTATTATACCTTTAAAGTTGTTGAGAGCTTTGAATGAAGATATTATCCTTAGATGCTTTGAGCTTGATCAAAATTTTTGCCTTCTTTGTTAGCCATGGTGTGTCTTCATTTAAACAAAAGCTCATTTGTGAAGCTTGATTTTACAATTTAACTCCGCCTAAGATCTTGGTCTTATCCTAGAAGCTATTGCGAGATGAGTTTCCTTCCAATGACGACCTGTTTAGAAGAAGGGTGTTATCTGACCCTAGTATGATTTCATGTCCTTTTTGCAGGTTTCGGTTGAAAATGCTTATCATCTTTTGTTACTTGTGAGTTATCCTTATTAGAGTGGTATGAAGATTTTAGGTGGTTGGGGTGACAGACAATTATTCATCACGATATTAGGGTGCTTTTTATTTTTCCTTTTATTAGGATGTAGGGTTAAGTTTAGGGGAGGTTACCTTATGGTTTTTCATATTGTGATCTGGTCTATATGGAAAATCTAAAACGACGTTATCTTTAATGGAGTCACAAATAATGAATGAAGTGAAGGAGAATAATGTTTTTTTTTGGCTTGGAAATGGTTTTTGAATTGACCCGGAGTGAACTCTTGTACCTTCACGAAGTGACTTTATAATTTTATCCTTTACCCGCACCTTTAGAAGATAAAGTGTTGTCATTGGTTGAGAATATGATGGTGGATCCACTATTCCTCTTTTGTTGATCTGTTGATGGCGAATATGGTTGGTTTGAGATCTAGCCAGTGTTTAGCGAGATTGTTCTTTAGTAATGATAGTTTATTGTCGGGTGTTCCATTTTTTTTTACTTTCTTGTTCTTTTGTTGATTTTTTACTCGTCAAGAGGTTTAATTTCCTTTTCCTTGTTTTTAGGAACTTCTTTGGATTGAATGCTTTTGGTTTATAATACTCTATTTACTACTTTAATATTTTTTATTTGCAATTAAAAAAAAGATAGAGCTCTGAAGCCATTTAGTGAAGGTGCAAGAGTTCAATTCTATCTATCAAGGTGTGATTTTAGACCAAAGAAATAATCTTCTCCTCCACCTATTTCTCTAATTTTTTAATACTCTTAAAGATGACATCATTATGAACTTTTCAAATAAATTGGACTACAATGTGCCAAATACATAATTTTGTTGCCTAGAAAAAATACCATTTAGTCTTAGAGATTTAGTATTCCCACACTAAGACACCACACCATCTATCTCCTGAAAAACTAAAGGGTGCGTAAGAGCAAGGTTGCCATCATCCAAAATAAGAGTAGTTACTTCAACTTAAATACAAGAATTTTAAATATTTTCAATTATTTTTAAACTAAAATTCTATCAGAGGATACATAATTTGATCAACCCTTAACATTCAAAATTATAGCCTAACTAGAAAGTGGAGTTACCAAGACATTTCATAAATTAGTCTAACTTCAAATAATCTTATTAATAATATCAATACTAGATAGTGTAACTTCAAACCATCTTAGTAATAGCATACCAAATAAAAAATAATATATATGAACTATTTGCAGCAAGCAATAGTAATTTAAAAATCTCACAGGAAACTCAAGTGCAAAAACACATAAAACCACAACTATTAATGTTACAAAATGTAGCTCCAAAAAGCAAATTTCCTACTATAATCCCGCCATGTACCATGAAGAACATTGATCTGTTTGAAGAAGTTGCTTGGATCTAGAATTCAAAAAGGGCCACAGTGTTAGACATGAGTATGAAACAACAAAAAAGAGTAAGAACTTCATCCATGATGCCAAGAATACAAGTCTGCACTACATGTAACACAAGGTTTTGTGTTATTAAAAACTAGACTCTATAATAATATCATGTATCATTATTGGTAACAAGAAAAATAATTATCAACTTGGAAAATAGGCATGGCTGTACTTGAACAGGTCCAATCAAATTAAGAATGATATCTAATATACATTAATTAACAAAATCATTTATGTTCAAAATATACATGCATAATAGACAAAGTATTGAAGTAAAGAAAATAATCACACAGTCATTATTCAACTTACATGAGTTAATGAAAGAAGAACTTACCTTCAACAAATTGAAACCAAGCTTTCAACATAATTCTTAATCGAGAACCAAGATATTTTATTAGTAATTCTAGTTCTCTGAGCAGTATTATCTCTTATATTATATATAATTGCTTGGTCTTCTAAGTTGTGTGCCAATACCAGTGTTTCACTGTTTTCTGAAAGATACAATGGCATCAAATAGAATCTGCGGTCCATAAAGTAACTTTGGATATTAAGACTTTCATAGCTAATTTTAAGGATCTGAGTCCAAGATTCTTCAACTCCGAATTCCATCATTCGCCATATTACAAAATGAGTATTTTTAAAATGATAAGAAAAACAAATGTGATTCATCAATACACTGATAGTTGGGTCAACATAAGGCTTCTCATCAAACCTAGGAGGTAATTCTATCTGCCTATATGTCTCGGTTCCCAAATCAAGCGAAATAACCACTTCGACATAAGTATCCTTGAAACCAAATAAAGCCAACCAATTAAGAGTGTCGTTCAAATACACACCTTGGTTCACTTGATGGCGAATATCGAGCATCTGTAAAGGAATACTGGGGAAATTTTGGATCTGTCTCCAAACATTATCACGCAAGCTGAAAACTCTTGCCTCAATTATCCTTAATTTGTGACTGTGAAATTTTAACATGACTACCTTATAATTGTTTGTTGAGTGATCATAACCGAATGAGAATTTGAAAGATGTAGGGTCTTTGAAGTCATCACTAAAAAGAGCGAAATTAAACCCTAATTGTTTAGACATTACTCTTGTGGATGGGTTCCATAAACTTAACCAAAAGAATGAACTAATATCGGAATAACTGAGGATACAGATCAGTCCATTACATGAACCAATCACGCGGTGGAAGAGTTCCCATGGGTAGAAATAGTTGTTGATAACGTAGCAAGGGTCACGAGTAAGGGTGATCGGAGGGTTCTCTAGTAAATTGCTTACTAGAAAAGGTACGAGTCTGAGAGTGAGAGGATGACTGGTAGTGACAAGTGTGAGGTGAGGTTGTTGTTGAGATCGGTCAAAGTGCAATTTCACAAAGACAAGATCAGTATAAAGGGAGTTACAGAACTTGCTAACGCATCTCATTCGCATAACGGATTTGACAGCAAGAAAGGAAAGTACTTCGAAGATGAGATCGTTGGGGATACTTATCGGCGATGGAGAGGCATTGGATCGACGTCGCCGCCGCTGAGATAGTGGGAGATTCATTTTGATATCCACTCAACTGCAGTTGTTGAAGCTATACGACTGTTATATTAGAGGATATGATAGAAGATATATATACTTACACTGTCAAACTTACTTGCAACACTAAATTTTGACTAAACATGTACATGTAATTTATTGTATGTATCCAGCCTATTATATATATTAAATACATAATCCTTTAAAGAATATAAAAATAAATAAAAAAACAAATTTTTTCTATAAATAAAACTTGAAATAAAATATAGTTTTATTTTATTCTCTAAAAAAAACACTAAATAAAGTATATATATTTTTGACTGTGGATGCATTTCTTTTCTTTTTAAAGTATAAATATTGGATTTGATTTTAAATAAAAGATTGACTAAGAAAAGTTTATTCAAATTTTTGACTAAATATATCAATTTTTTTACAAATTTTTTGTTTATAAATTTATGGTCATTATTGTTTTTCTTCCTTTTTAATACGTATCCTTCACGCAATAATTATTTTATATTTAAAAGAGTTGTAATTAACTAATTATTTTGTTACCATGCCTCTTTTGTTTTGTGCATTATTTAATGTACTTTTTTTTTTTAATTTTGACTAAACTTTCTTTGAAAAATATTATTAATTTTGACTAAACTTTTTTTGAAAAATATTATTAATGTACTTTTGTTTTGTTTTTCTTAGACTAAACTTTCTTTAGATTATAGATTTTTCAAAGAAAGTTTAGTCAAAATTAAAATAAATTAATTTTTTTTTAAATTTGATTAAACTTTTTTTTTTTAATTTTGTCTTAGTTGCAACTTTAGTCATCATATTTTTCAAGTTTTTTTTTTGAGTTTTGATCTCTCTTTTTTAAAATATGAGATTTTGATCTTTTTTTAATTATTTTTTAATTTATTTTAGTCCCCCGTCCTATTCAAGTGTCGATTTATATAACATGACATTGAATTGATGATGTGGCGTGAATTAAGTGACAAAAAACAATTTCTACAAAAATTATTTCAACCATCCGAGCCAATTTGTCTTCTTGTCAATAGCAGTCAACAATAATATTATACTCTCTCTGATCCCATTTATAAGAAAAAATTGATTTTTTTAGATCCATTGAATAAATAATGTTCGGACTCGACGTTGAGGCCGCCTGCCATCAGCTGACCATAGATCCCGCTGTTAGAATAGTAGTTCAACATAGGCATAGGTAGTCTCCTGAGAAAGTGAAAGTTGCTGAAAAAAGTTGTAAAAGACCTCTTAAAGAAAAAATTTATTTCGAAAGTCCAGTACACAACTTGGCTGTCTAACATTGTATTAGTTAAACAATCTAATGAAAACTGGAGAATGTCTGTTGACTATACCGATCTTAATAGAGCTTTCCCCAAAGATGCTTATCCTTTGCCCAACATTGATAGGCTGGTAGACAACTCTGTCTGCTATAAACTTTTATCATTCATGGACGCGTATTCAGGTTTAAATTAAATCCCCATGGCGAGGAGCGACAAACAATGCACCGCCTTCATGACCGAGTCGGGAAAGTATTACTACAATATAATGCCCTTCGGTCTAAAAAACACCGACGCTACTTATCAACGAATGATGGAAAAAATTTCCGAGGAGAAATCAGGGATATGCTCAAAGTCTACATGGACAATATGATCGTGAAGTCCCGGGAAGAAACCGACTATACCGCCCACCAAAAGAAGGTCTTCAACTAGGCGAGGAGATGTAAGATGAGCTTCAATCCAGAGAAGTGTACCATCGTCGTTCGGCCAGCCAAGTTCCTCGGTTTATTTTTAACAGAGCAGGGAATCAAAGCCAACCCTGTCAAGTGCTATCCTTCTCCGAATTCCCGACATTAAATTCGAAAAAATCTATCCAATTCCTGAACAGGATGTTCACATTGTTGTCTCGCTTTGTGGCTAAATATGCTCAACACGCGCTCCCGTTTTTCAAACTACTGCACAAGGAAGAAACGTTCGAGTAGACAGAGGAGTGAAACCAAGCCCTCCTCCACCTCAAACAAGCTCTTTCAGAACCACCAGTCCTCTCGTGACCAAAAGCCGGAGAGACTTTGTACCTTTAGAGCCAAAAACCAAAATAATTCACGAGCAAAGCTCTTCAAGGCCCATAATTCAGGTACCAACAGATCGAGACGGTTTTCTTGGCCCTCGTCAATGCAACGAGGAGGCTAAGATACTACATCCTAGCCTACACGCTCGTTGTACAAACTAACCAGCCCGTGAAGTAATTACTCGGTCGTCTAGACATGGCCTGTAAAATGCTTAAAGGGTCGCTAGAACTGTCAGAGTTTGATATCCAGTATGAGAGTAGGATGGCCCTTAAATCCCAAGTATTACCCGACTTTTTGGCAGAGATGACCACACCCGCCTCCTCGACGAGCGGATCCCGCAAGTGGGATATCTTTCTAGATAAAGCATCCAGCTCGACGAGAAGCGGCGCAACCATCATTCCCTAGAACGAGGAAGGTATCCTAATTGAGTTCTCCCTCAGCTTATCCTTCCTAAAATAAAATAATTAAGCTGAATATGAAGCCTTCCTCCTAAGACTACGTCTAGCCGAGGACTTAGGCGCCCAGGAAGTAAAATCTTCACTGATTTTCAGCTCGTCGCCTCTCAGGTACGAGGAGAGTATCCAGCCAAGAATGACAATCTCATTGAGTACTTAACTCTAGTAAAAGAAAAAATGAAAAATTTTGTATTCGCAGAAGTCAAGCATGTTCCTCTCTGGCATAACACTCGGGCGGATATGCTTTCCAAACTCAGAAGCATAAAGAAAAAGGGTGGGAACATTTCCATCATCAAGGATACCCTCTCTTGCCCGAGCATCGAAAACCCTCCATAACACTCGATGTAAACGCCATCATGGAACGACTGGTGGATGACCCCGGCCACAGGGGAACTGCCTTCCGGTCAGCAAGAACCAAACATAACTAAATAAAGATCCTGCTTCTACGTCTTACTCGAAGACAAACTCTACAGACGAGGACTCTTTATCCTACTCTTGAAGTGTGTCGAGGAGGCCAGAGACCCCTACATCTTGTGGGAAATGCATGAAGGAATCAATGCACAACACCTTAGAGGAAGATCCCTAGCACGGAAATCCCTACAGGTAGGATACTAATGGCCTACCATGCAGCTTGACACGAAAAAGCATGTCAAGAAATGCGATAAATGCCAATGCCACACAGAAATTCACTTGGAACCACCTAACGAACTTAAGACCCTATCGTCCCCATGGCCTTTTGCCTAGGGAGGAATGGACACCCTCGGTGCATTCACTGTGGGATCATACCAGAGCAAGTATTTGATTATTATTGTCAACTACTTCACGAAGTTGATAGAGGCCGAAGCCCTCGCCAAAATCACGGCACAAAACATATTATGTTTTTACAAGAGAAACATGCTCGCACAATTCGGCATACCTCAAGCGCAAATCACCAACAATGGGACACAATTTATCGACAGAAACTTCCAAGACTTCATCGCCAAACTAGGCACCAAGCAACACTTTACATCTATCGAGCACCCTCATATGAACGGGCATTCCGAGGCCGCGAATAGAGTGATCCTGTGAGGACTAAAATAGCGACTGAGTGATACCAAAAAGAGGTGGATTGAGGAGCTACACAGTGTACTCTGGGCCTACATAATGACACCGCACTCGACCACAAGGGAAACTCCCTTCCATCTATCCTAAGTAATTGAGGCAGTAATCCCAGTGGAAATCATAGAGCCATTTAGGCGAACTGAATCTCCTCTTAACGAGGAGATGAACGACGAAGCCTTGAAAGAAGAGCTCGACCTGGTCAAAGAAATTCAGTCGGAGTAAGCTCTCTGTGAGGCCATGTTATAACAAAAGATAACTTTGCATCATGATGCCAAAGTCATAAAACATGAGGTCCATGTCAGAAGCCTAGTCCTTTAGAGAAATCAGAAAGACTCATGCGAGGGTAAACTCGTCGTGAACTGTGAAAGTCCTTATCGTGTTCGAGCAAAAACTGATAATGTGACCTATTTCCTTAAAAACTTGAACAGGGGGTAACTTACTCTACCATAGAACGCATAAAAGATAAAACAATATTACAATTAGTCCTAACAATACTATGTTTATGCCTAACAGCCGGGCTGCCCCGTTCAATGGGTAACAAGGCATACTCGGCCATAAAAGCGTGTTACCATACGAACACAACATCCCAAACCTGAAACTAAAAGGCAGGCTCTCTCTCATTGGACGAGAATAACCTTATCCCGACGGGGATACCTTGACTTAGTTACATCGTCGCAGTATCGATGAGGCAGAACACCTAGCTCATAATGGAAAATTTCACGCTGTAGGATCAGGACCCCGAACATGATCTTAGTTTCGTTATCAAGCAGAACTCAACTCTATTTCCTCGACATGTTCCCTAAATATTCGAGTTTTAATTTTGTCCAACAAGAATCCCCACACTTAAGCAAATTGTATTTGCAAACATAAATAACAATGAGGAAATTAGGTACTCAACAAGAAAACAACTTGGAAGCATGCGACATGGTTAAAGTATTACAAAAAGTCAGGCATAGGCTATTGTCTGGATATTATAAAAATTACAGGCAAGCAGGCCCAAGCAAAAATAGTCAAAACAATAAAGTAAACTACTCCTCAAGCACAACTTCCCCAACATTCAAATTTTCCTCGGCATGAGGCTCCCCATCTTCCTCGACCATAGGAGACGAACCATGGGGAGGAACTATCCGACCATCGACAACCTGGTGAAAGGGACCGACCCCTTCAGTGATGAGCTCAACCCCTGGATTCGCTACCTCGATTTGGGCTACTGCGTTGTCAAAACTCATATCAATAACACACAGGAAATCCTGCTCGAGTTCTTGAATTCGAGAAACCAGGTTGACTCGGGTGTTTAAAGCCTTTATCTCGTCAGTTTCCCCCTAGGCAAGATCCTCAACAACCCTGAAACTAGCAATTTCATCCTTGAGACTCTTCTTCTCGAGCAACCAACC